TCATATCTGTGTTTTGGAGTTCAGTTTTCATTCATTCTCTCTAAATGATCAAACCACCTCCACTTACTTCTTTCATACTGGCCAATTTTCTATGCAATGCACAATCATTCAGCACCTCTTCATTCTTGACCCCCTCTCTTCTTGTTTTACTACACAACACTTCTTCAGTATCCACCTTTCAATGCATTCAAGTTTTCTGTTTCTCTGTTGTACCCAATTCTTTTTCATATAACCAAGTCCACAGAAACATATTTGTACGCACAGCCATTTTTTGATTCTTTCAACATTCATTTGCAGGAGGGCAGACATTACCCACTACCTTTCTATCTGTATTTGCACATCTTAAAATTCCTCAATCCATTTTCTTTAGCAAACATTCTCCCAAGGTACACAAATTCATCTGCTTTCCCAGATTTTTTAGCTGCATATATGCAACTTGCATTGGCCCACTCCATGTCTCCTATCAAACATAACTGCTTTAAATTTCAAATCCATACTTGGCGTTGCACTGTACAATCTAACTTCTGACTTAACACTCAGGGGGAGAAGCAGCTTCAGTAGCTGGAGTAAGTCCCAAATGTTTATCGAAAGCAACTAATTGGGTTTGAAGCACAAGCTTCTAGTTGCCCTTTTAAAATAGTCCTCCCAAATCCTAGCCCTGCACCCCTACAATCATGCTACGTAGGGATGTCACATTTTTTGCTTTATTAAAAAAAAATACAAAACAGTATTAACAGGTATACAGATGTACGTATACAAAGTCTACAGCTTTATTACTGTACAGTGTTACAAACAGAGAAGTGTTGCAGCCCGGAATGGCTGGGTTGGCCTCGGGGGGGGGGGTCGGGGGGACTGTGTTCTAAGTGCTAAACCTCTTGAGAGAGGGAAGTCATTTTAAATCTTGCCTGTGGAGGAAGAGCAAAGGGCAGGCTCTAGTTGGTGACCAGCAAACATCAAAATGATAGCAGAAAGGGAAAAGAAGGAGATCAACAATCCTGTTGGTGCCCAGGGAACTTGAATTCTTGGAGGTTAGGGAGCATCTGAGCTCTCTAAGAATGACGGATGAATCAGTATTAATCCTGGTACAAGCTTGTAGTGCAAATATGTTCCTTTGGTTAAATAGGTCACCCGCTCACCCCAAGGATCTTCCTTCCCTAAAAACATTGCCTTTACTCTTATACCAAGTAAACACACGTATAGCTGAGGCAGAAGGTGGATTCAACCACTGTCTTTTTAATAACAAATCATGGGTTCTTAATGTTCTGCTTTGCCTGTGTCTGTCATATTTATTTATCTGCCACATCTATAAAACACACACTCATTGCAAACCAGCTGGCTGCGCTTGCTCTCTATTTCCATGGGAACTCTGGCAATGTTCACCCAGATTCCAAGGTGGGATTCACTGCCTAGACCTAATAGGAAAATGTATTTCCTAGCATTTTAAAATGCTCCCACCGGGCTTCAAAATGTGATATGCTCTGCAGGGAAGACCCTGCCCACTTTTTCCAGGAAAAGTGTTGACGGGTTTGTGCACCTTTTGGTTTCCAAATCCACATGGGGCTTAAGATGCACTAGGAAGGCTCTGCCCCAGTGCTGTCAAAAGAGAGACGTACAGTTTCTCATCTTCCACCAGACAGGATTTGCATACCCCCAATTTGAAGGGCAGGTGGTCTATGGGTTGGGTCCTAGCTGCTGTGACACATCATCTTCACCAACTGTCATGTTGGGAAGGATTGAGCCCAAAGGGGGCCCTTGCACAGACATGCCCAAAACACATAGCCCTTCAAGGGACAAGTACAGGCAGGTCACTGCTGGGAATTGGTCACTCACACAGCACCCAATATCCCTAACTAGACTTTTTTTTAAAGGCTTGTTAGACCACTGGCACAGATACCCAACACACACCGTATAATACATCGCTTCAAGCCAAACCCCTCCCGAGTGATGTCTTTCACAAACTCCAGCAATGGGCTTTGGACTCCTGGAACAAGGGGAATAAAGAGTGCTCCTCAGATGCCTGTTGAATAAAAAAAGAAGGCCTTTGACAAAACAAAAGGACCATGGAAAGAACTAGCCATTGTTTAGTGGAAATGTCAATTGCCTACACTCTTCCTTCACAACCAGGGTTGCTTAATGTCTACAAAGCTCTTCAGCTAACCCACCAAATGACCATTGTCTTTGGCGAGACAATGGGTAAGGGGGGCTGCTCCCCAGCTCAGAGGCACAGAAAAGTCTGTATTGTATTAGGAGGGTTCTTGCACATTAGCACTGCTCTGTGAGAAAACACCCAAGGCAGGCTTGAGAGCTCTCCGCAGGGCAATAGAACTTATTCCATACATTTATATTTAACAACTCAGTGGCCAAATCAAGAGACTTTGTACAGTACTGCTCAACTGGCAACTACAAAATGCCATTTGGGAAGGAAAAAAACCACTGGAAGGACATACTACAAAATATTCAAGTTTAACCAGAAGGAGAATTTGGGAACATGTTATGAATTTTTCCCATCACCTCTCCCTCCCGGTTTGAGTAAGAGCCCTTTGAAAATGTGTTCAGCGCTGAACACAATCTTGCCTCTTCCTCCTTGACACAGAAAACAGAATCTAGCCTCAAGCCAGAAAGGGCACAAGTCCCACCCCAAGCCGAAGGCGGCAGCAGCAGCAGCTAGCTTGAAAAACTCCTGAGCAAGGAGGAACACAGGGTCGGTTGGCAGTTTACCGCCCTCAGCAGTTTCAATGAAATGCTACCAGCAATCCAGACCAAGCCATCTGGATTGTTTCCTGCAGTTTGGTACCAGCTGTCACCTGGGACGGTCTCTGCTCTCTGACAGCCAAGATACAAGCAGGAAGTGCCCCTGGAGCCATGCCCCAAGGCCTGAAATCCCTCATGTTCTACAGCTTTATTTTTCTGCCAATATCCTCCTCCACAATGCACACATATCCTTTTCCTGGTCCTATGGTCCAGTACAGCTTCTTGAGCCAGGATTCCTCCCAAATGTGCAATTCTGCTCCTAGCTTCTCTTCCTAACCCGAAACCACAATCACTTCATCATCTCTTCTGCTTGCTTCCCTGCCAGACCAGGCGACATGACCACCTTCTCTGCCATTCCTGCAGCCCAAGGCAAACTGCAAGACCCCAAATTAAATCAGAAATGTAAATTAAAAGCTAGCTTTTAAAGTCCATAAATAGGACAGGGGAAGAGGGAATAGTGGAACTCAGTGCCTCTTGAAGTTATTCCAGTCTTCTACGATAAGTCTATCTCCAATCCTTTCTCCACCATGGGGATGGCTGACCTTTGTGGGTCACAATGCATTTCACCTTGACCACAATGCCTGGAGTGTAGACACTGCCTGTCGCTTTGCCAGCAGAAGGAGCTGCTTGCTCCCAATTCCTCAGGACACCTGTGAACCGAGAGGGGAAAGTCTGGGAAGGGTCTGCTGCTGGCTACGAGTGTGTCTCTGTAGGCTTTATTATTGCACCGTGACAAAAAATGCAAAGGAGAACAGCAGCATGGAGGCAGGTCATCGCTTCACTTTTGCATCTTCCTTGATCTTCCAGATCATCAGCTCCATACAGGCTCGGGCATCCTCACTGGAGTCATGACCTTCCACTGTTAGCAACCAGAAAAATAAGAAGCCATTTATTCACTTATTTAATGGGTTTATAGGGCCGCCTGACTCAAATGGTGGGACTTTGGGCGGCATACGGCAGAAAGCAAGCAAAAACCCAAAAATAACCACATAACATTAAAAAGCACAATCAATATATATATAATAGCAACCAAATACAATAATAAAAGAAGCAAAGGGGGACTCTGCTCAACTGGACTCAAATATCTGGGGAAAAAGGCAAGTCTTAACAACTTTCCTAAAGGCAAGCAGAGTTGGGGTCTGCTGTATTGGGGGGGGGGGATTAGCTATTACCCTGGGGTGACCAGTTGTCTCCAAGTTAAGAAGACTGACACATTGGGTAGATTTTTAAAAGATGCAGATCAGATGCCATAAAATCAGCTACCATATATACGCATGAATAAGCCAAGAATTTTAGGTGCCAAAATACACCCAAAAATTGGGTTTGGGTTTCCCAGTGGTAGGGTTTTCCCTCAACCTTTTTAAAGTATCTGTATATCCCATATATACTCGCAGATAAGCCCCTCTGAGGGTAAGCAGACCCTCAAATTTTTAACCAAAATACCATGAAAAATGCACCCCCCATGGATAAGCCAATTGTGAAAATTAAAACATACAAAAATTCTGAGGGTCGGCTTATCCATGGGTGGGCTTACCTGCAAGTATGTACGGTAGCTATACAGGTGAATCTTTATTTGCCCAGAACTTATATTTGTATTTAATTTGCAATGTTTCTGAAATTCTACATTTAGGAAGATTAAATGGTTTTTTGAAAAACTCATCATCTCTACTGGCAAAATAGAGTTATGCACAGGTATTTGCATGTATACGAGAGAGAGAGAGAAGGAGAGGGAGGGAGAGGGAGAGGGAGAGGGAGAGAGAGAGAGAGAGAGAGAGAGAGAGAACAGAATTCCTGTTTGAACAGCAGCAAGGCTGTTTTGGGGGGAACCTTGGGCTGGCGCGCAGGCTGCAGATCTTTGTGGACCAGCGAGTCCTAACGACAGTGACTCACACCTCTGGTTAGAACCCCACAACTTGCTCTCTGAAGCCCACTCAGACACTGCAGACGTTGTTCACAATGCAGCAGACAGTATGCTCAACTGGAATGAAGAAGTTTAGAAATGCAACACTTAATACTCTGACTGCTGCATTGGCTAGCAATTGGTTTTGGAGCCCAAAACGGGGGGTCCAATCTATGAAGCCCTGGGTAGCTCAGCAGTGCACTTACAGAACCGTTTCTTCCGAATTCCTGCCCTGCCCTGTGCGTTCTGCCCAAATGGAAGGCTGAGGTTCCCCACCCTATCTGACGAGGGTAGGGACCCAGATATGCGCCTTCTTGGTGACTGCCCCCACTGGACGCCTCCTGGGGTGCATAAAGCCCTCAACCTTTTAGAAAGTGTCAAAAAGCATTTGGTGGATGATACTGGACTGCCTTTTTCTTAAGTTTTGATCTGACTTGGTTTCATTTTTCTTGGTTGGGTTGTTTATGTAGGGTTGTTTTCAGATATGTGTTTTTATAGTTGCTGTAATTTCCCTTGAGTCTCAGAAGTAGACAGTATATAAATAATTTCATAAATTGATAATATATGAATAGGCCCTCTCCCTCCTTAGTTTGGCCTATTACTGTGTTCATTCTCAGTTTCATCACATTTTCATCTGCAGATTAAGTCCTTCCAACCTGACTCTCAGTGTGCAGTAGGCAGAGCACTCTCTATTTTTTTATAATCATCATCGTTACATTTTTATCCGTATTTTTTGGTTTGCTTGTGTTAATAAGCATGCCAACTTGTTACTGTCCCTGAGAAACAAACCTCTACATTAGAAGGGAGTTTTCATTTGAACCCACAAGGTAATATTTACCATAACATGATGGAAAAGAGGACAATAATTTAGGCAGAGGGTGAAGTAGAATAAAGGGCAATTAGAAGTCAAACTAGAGTCCACAACAGGTCGTGCGCATTGGTCCCCAAATGTCTCCCCACTCCCCTCACATACACACTCATACCTGGCCCAAAGTCTTACCACTATCCTGAATGATGCGCTTGAGGTAATCCGCCATCAAGGTACGCAATGCCCGCTTGTAAGGCAAACCCAGGCGGTGCGGGAAGACAACTGCCGTGTCTACCACCATGCAGTGGATAAGCTAGCAAGGGAAGGAAGAAGGCATCTCCAGTTGGATTCTTTTCTATACGCTTTCTTTCCTTTTTGGCTTTTAATGAAGAGTACTTAATTAAGTACAAGAATATGTGTTACGAAGAAGTGCATCTTAAAAAAAAACTACGAGAGAAGACAAGGGGTTTGAAGGGGGGTTTATCCATAAACTAGCAATGTCCATCAGTCTGGGGGAAGGGTGTGCATAGGGCGTGTGTGCATTTCTGTGCAACGTTTACCTTTAGTGCAAACAAGTCGCTTTCTAAACTGTGTCCTATTAGGATAGTGTCTGTGCTGAACATACTCAAGAGAACGGCCTGAACATCCCGAAGAGTTATGGACACATCTTCCAGATCTTCCTCGGTCACACCCGAAAACCTGACAAGGAAAGATTGGTGTCATCAGTGGTTTTCTTCTGCTGGTTTTCAGACGTACCATTACCACCCATCACACGTGCAATTTTAGGCTAAGAGTAACTCCTGCTCAGAGAATCTCCTCCCTTTTCCTTTCTGCACAAGATCTCTTGACTGCATGGGCAGAGCCAAATGGACCCAGGTCTCTTTTTGGCAGCCCTCTGACAATGATGGCTGAAGACAGAAGGAATACTTCCCCATTTGGCATTGGGAAATAGATAAAAACTAGCGTAAGTGGTAAAATAGGCACAACACAAAAGACAACTTCCCCCTCAAATCCAGCACCACCCATAGGTGTCACATAGCCCTCAGACGTCTCCCCAATATTAAATGTTTGTGAACGTGGCCACAAAAAGAGTGCCCACCCCTGTCTCATTGGAAAGAATGAAGTTCAGAGTGATAACTCAGAAAGAAACACGAAAAGCAGGTTCCTCCAGAGGAGAAATACTTGGCTCATTTCTTGGGGCAACGTGATCTAGACAGATCAATGGTTTGGGAGTGCAAACTTTCTGAATCAATTTTTCTGGTTCACAAATCAATGATAATAGAGAACAAGAAAATGAATCTGAAATGCAAGAATAAATAATGATCTCCTGCTGAAACTCTGGAAAGAAAGCCACATGGAGGAAGTTAGGCTAGCCTAGATGGATGGGGCTGACTCAGCAGAAGGCAACTCTAAAGACGCTGATGCTTAGCAGATACTCCAGCCACTCAGCTGCCGTCATCCCCAAATGCACAAGCTTTTCTTTATGTAGCTTATCCTCATGCTTTTTCACACTTTGCAGCCCCTCACCGAGTGTTGTAATCCACAACTTTGTAGTCTGGTTTGACAAAGGTATCATAGACCACTATCAGGTCTGAGTTGATCACAGTGACTCGCGTCAGCTCTAAACCTTGCTTAGTGTAACACTGCAGAAGACAAGATACAAGAGACACAAAGAAAGCATGTTTTAGAAAGTGTTCCTGACAGTTGTTGGGCAACTATAGCCATTTATCAGACCCCAGCCAATTTTGCAGCCAAACAGAAAGATGTGTAAAAGAATCAGGGGAAAAAAATATTCAGAAATTTGTCTAGTACTTCATGAGTGGGACTTCGTGTGCCTTGATTATTTTACTGCATTTCTTCCAAGCAGTTCAGAAATTGTAATTGGTACCTCCCGCTCTATATTTCATCTCTATAGTAACTCTCAGAGCTGGAGTTAAATCTAGTAATAATGATCAGTCCAAGGTCACTCTGCTCTGATACCCCCCAACCTGATGTTCTCCAGACATACTGAATCTGCAATTCTCAAAATTCCAACCAGCACAGCTATGCTGATGGGAACACTGGAGGATGCAGCGTCAACAAACCTAAAGGGCACTAGCTTGGGGAAGGGGACATAACAGGTACATTTGTGCCTTGGTCCCTCTCAATGATGCTCAAACTAGAATAGAAAAAAAAGCTCAGTTCTGCACACACACAAATAAATTATGGAAATGCAATGAAATGTTGGTTTAGACTTCTAGATTCTTCCCTCTTCCAGAATGTACCATCTTATTCCACCTTCCCTGAAACCTCTCCCTGAACCTCAGGCAGGCAACCTTTGGTGGCCAGTGAGCATACTCAGTCTTCCTAACTGTTTTCTTCTGGGACTGCCTTCTCACCATTTTTCCAGTTGAGTATTTTTCTACTCCTACAATGCACATAAAAAACAGGCAGAGCTTTGATCATGCCACCGTGGCCACCATCCTGACTTTTTAGACTATGCCCTGGTTTACATCCTTGCTGATTGCTTCCTCTTGAATCTCAACAGCCCTGTTCTACTAAGACAGCCCTTTCTATGTTACTCAAGCTCTCTATTAAATATGCATAACGGTGTCAAAGTTGTTTCCATTCAGATATACTGGGCTGTCTGAGCATAGAATTTAAATACACATTCCCGATGAAATATGAAATCCTTAACATCATTCTAAATGCACAACAACCTACCATTTCACAATCTAAGGCGTAGATGCCAGGATGGCCATCTGCACTAGGCAACTTTTCAAACGTCTTCACAAAACCTTCCAGATTTTCCTTCCGGCCATCGTGGACATGTTGCTTAAGATGAGAGCGAGGGAGAATTAAAGAGGTGTTAAAACTATCCCTGGAGAAAGGACCAAGACGTCTCCAATCTTGCCCACCTTTAGTAACAGGTCAGTAGTCTCACAAAATGCCAACTTGAGCAACACAATATTGGAATTAGACGTTCCCTTTTTATGGTGGATGGAGGGAAGCCTGAAAACTGACTTGCTCTATGACAGAGAATCCAAAGATCAGTAACAATCACAAGAGTGGAAGAGAATACGCTCATTTTCAGTTACAGAATTTTTAAAAACCTGGTGGAAGTTCTCAAGAATGTTCAAGAGAACAACAAAGAACGTAAGAAGCATATCTGGACAGTATTTTTTTCAAACAGCAAAACTATGATGTCTCAGGGGAGAAAGGGAAATATTCTACATCTACTGTAGAAAAGGAACGTTTGTAGTAGGCCTAACATTCAATTTTCCTTACAGTGGAAAAAGGTATCTTGAAAGCAGGGATGTATCAAAACAGCCCCCAAGAGAGTGAGTTTTGAGCACAAAACATTTTACACACTCCTAGAGAGATGTGGACTAAAATCTCTGGAGAGAGGAAAAAGTTCTGACCCCCTTTAGTTTCCTCAGAGTTCACATCAGTTTCTATGTACCTCTAGATGCACTGAGCTACAGTCTCTCTCACTGATGGTTGAGAAGCCCACATTCTCAAGGACTGTAGATGCCTCAGGCCTGTACAGAATTACCTCCTTCTTCCACCACTAGGTTCCCTTCTTCTCTGTCATGGAAGGTCCTGTCACCATACTGTGACCAGTGTTACTATGTAATTATCATATACTCTGATTTATAGCTACCGGGGGGCATGCATGTCACAAGATGAACATGTCAGCAGCCTGAAGCAGCTGAAAAAAAAGCACACACAATCCTAGGCTGCATCAACAGAAGCCTGGTGTCAAGATCAAAAAAAGTCTTTGTTCAGATCACACTTAGAACACCGTGTCCACATTTTAGGAAGGGGTTTGTTACACTGGAATGTGTTCAGAGGAGAGGAACCAAGATGATAAGAGGCCTGGAAGGAAAAAGGTATTGGGTATGCCTTGCTTAGAGAAGAAAAAAACTGCAGAAAGACGTGATAGCTGCCTTCAAAGGCTGTTGTGTATAACATGGGGTAGCACTGATCCAAGAAAGAAGACAAGAAACAATGGATTTAAATAACTAGAAAGTCGATTTTGGTTAGTCATCGAGAAAATTTCCCAAATGTTAAGAGCTGTTCCACAATAGAACAGACTGCCTCAGGGGGTGGTGGGGCAGCTTTCACCGGAGGTGTTTGAACAGAGGCTGAACAGTCATCTGTTGGAGATGCTACAGTAGTGGGTTCCTGCACTGAGCACGTGGTTGGACTAGATCAGGGTTCCTCAACCTTGGCAACTTTAAAACATGGCTGGCTGGGGAATTCTGGGAGTTGAAGTCCACACATCTTAAAGCTGCCAAGGTTGAGGAACCCTGGACTAGATGATCTCAAAGATCCCTTCCAGACCTTACATTCTATGATTCTTTGATCTCCACCCCCCCATTTGGGGAAGGTGCTAACTTGATTGAGATTGAAGCATTGTTCTCAGTAACCAGGGCCTCATTCTGATCTTTCACCTCACATGGAAGCTCTTACAGAAAAGTCATGGTGATCAGCCTGCTGAAGGTTAACAAGTCACAGTGGATGAATGGATGAAATTAACATTCGCAGCAGAAGAGCAGGGAATAATGTTTATACAACAGTACAATCCAATTGTTTCTGTCAACCCAGTATGTTTGAACAGAATGGGTGTGCTCCAGCTCCTCTCCATTAAATGCTGCCATCTTGTGGGACTGAGGGAGCGCGCCTTCTCTGTCACTGCCCCTGTTCTCTGGAATAGCGTCCCCAAAGAGATGCAAATGGCACCCACTCTCCTGGGGTCCTGGAAAGCCCTTAAACCCTGGCTCCGCTCCCAGGCCTGGGTTCAATGTGTTTATTGATGCATTTGTGGGGCCCTGTTGTATCTGAACAGTTGACATTCTGATGATTTTAATCTGGGCCACCTGTTTGTGTGTTTGTTTTCATTGTTTGCTGGATTTTGTAGGCCACCCAGAGTCTAAAGGATTGGACAGCTATAACAAATTTAATAATAAATTAAACAATGTTTTTGTCCTATTACTACAGAGAATGGCTAAGCTGGAAGGGGCCATCGTTTTTCAAGCCAAAGCATGGATTGAAAAGCATCTCCCCAGCATCTTCAATGAAGCAGAGATCAAAGTAGCAGAACTGCAAATATACTTAGAGAGAAGATGGTCCACGTCACCTTGTACTCATGATTTGATCTAACATGGTTACATACTTTTGCAACTTGGCATCCGAGTGAACCCACAGCTCCTGAACAGCAGCTATAATGTGTTTCCCAGCCACCTGGAACTGGAAAAAAAAAAAGAGAGAGAGAGAGAAATGCTGAGTGGGAAATCATCACGATACACATCAGCACCAGTCAAAGGTTAAGCAAAGACTAGTCTGGGTGAGATAGTCTTGATTTTAGTACTTATACAATGCCTTTCTATCAAACTACTTGGGGAGGGTTATGGTTTAAAATTATCACTTATAATGATGATGTAGGCTAGAAAACATGCTAAGGAAGAAGAAAGCAAACAGTAGTATGAACATCTGCATAATGAACACAGAAAGCTAAAGTAGACTTATTTACTTCTGAAATATTTCTAAGCCATATCATTTAAACAATTTGTAAAAGGATTACAGGCTAGTTTTCAGGGGAGTGGAGTCCTATGACAATTGATCCCAGCTAAGGTTGGGATTGTGTGTTTATTGTGTTATATATAATTGTGTTTATTGTCTTCCATTTGTGTCCCTATGATTCTTACTTAAGACAACCACCACCCCACATGGTATACAGTGCTATGAATGAATATTTACTCATTTGGGATTTTTTTTTAACATTTACATATCTTTGCTACTGAATATTAGAGGCCCTACTGATATATAAACAAAACCTGAGGGAACAAATAATGCCAAAATGGGATGTTCCTCTCATTTTTTCATGAAGTCCTCCAACATGCAATGTGACGATGTGAAATTAATATTAGGGAATGGATGAACTCATGGCCATGAGCAGAGATCTAAAACCTATTTGTCCAAGCTCTCAGAGAAACTCGCAAAATGCCAATAAGGTTCCTCGTGAGGATAAAAATCAACGTTGTGCACTTTGAGTTCCTTTGGAGAAAGAATATACTTTTGAAAAGGAATGAAAACCATTACCCCTTTGCTTGCGCAATCTCCCCCAGTGATGGATGCACTCTTCTTTACGGACACAATTTCCAGAGGGTGTCACCATGTACTGTGTGCCACACCGACAGCAAACTCTGCAAGTGCCTTAAAGTAGAAAAAGAAGGGGTGTATATAAATATTGATATTTTTTTTTTGCTTTCTCTTGGTCCAACACTTTTTTTTTTCATTTTTCTATTTTCTCCCAACAAGATGTACTGACCCAGTTGACTGGGAGGAGTTGACCAGAGCAGGAGCCCCCCAACCCATCTGCAGGGCACCTGATTGTATGAAGTGGTATCTGAAGAGCCAATGGCTATTTTCTCTCATCTCTGAACTGTTTCTAACCAATTTTCAAAGGGGAAAACGTGGCATTTGTTGTTTTTTTCCAACTGACCACCCCAGCAAAAACGCAAGTCTTCCATTAGACAAACTGTTATGAGATTCAACTGCTTGCCACCTTGTGGTATAAGGAAAAATTGCATCACAGACTGAGAAGTAAAAATGAAGTAGTTCAGACAGACAAAGCACATTTTTAGCATCAACACCCACATTCATTCTGGAGAGAAGGTTTGTTTCTCATGGCAGAAGGAATTTGCAATAATTCAGGTGAGGAAGACCTAGTTGGCATTACCTAAGTCAGGGTATCCCTAAAACAAAGCATCTACCCAAAAGACTGAAATGTCATCTTTGAAAACATGACAGTTCTCTGTTTTGTCCCTGCAGAGTGTACAGACTGAAGCCCCAGAGCTGCATGTGGCCCCTAAAAGCCCTGGCAATGGCTCCTAGGTCACTGTAATTGCCACAATAGTGTGTTTAATACATTGGTGTATTTAATCGATTAGTTTCTGATTTTTTGTTCTGACCGTGCTTACTATTAAGAGTGTACCTGCCAGCTTATCATTCCAACACCAACATCATCCCCCTTACCTAAATTTGGGTGTCTGTGCTATAATGCTAGGCCTGATCATATATGCTCCCCAACAGCTGGAGAATCCTGTCTGATACAGCTGAAACTAACACCTCTACCACCACCACCAAAAAAACAACAACAAAAAACAGTTTGGCTTTTCCCAAGTTTAGGCAACTCACCCTCACTTTTCTCCAATCTGATGGCATGAACACAGGAAACTGCTTTAGATCTGGTGACAGGATCTGTTCACCTAGTCTAGTACATCTGCTATTATGACTGACAGCAGCTTTCTGTGATCTCTGGGAGAAGTCTTTTCTCTCCGTCGCTACTTCAGCTTTTTAAAGTGGAGTAGCTGCAACCTTAGCTGGGCCCCTGAGCCTCCATTAGATGGGTCTGCTTCCAAGATGCTAACACAAGCCTGGAAGGTCTTCTGTGGTAATCAATCTATCAGTCTTTGAGGTGGCTTTTTATGATTGCATCACACACAGACCACTACTTCTGAAATTTGACCTTGGTCAAAGCACACCACAGATCACCAACCTCTTCTTCACCACTTCATATGCCTGCACCTCTGGGATCCCCAAGCCATTAAAGAGGACCCCTGCAGGGTTAGTCTAAACACCTTGGAGCCCAGGCAGGGTGGCAAACCTACAAACAGGGCAGCCATTGGTAATCTTCTCCTGCTTTTCCTCCTATGTATTCAAACCAACATACTTTATCATTAGGTCCAGAGGATTTGAGCATACACACAACACTTCAGCACAAGACTCCAAGGGACTCCAATGGACACCACCACATGTTCGCCACTGGCACCACTCTGCATTTCTCAATCATATTTGGGGCAAAGGGGAGCTCTGAACACACTGCTCATCCCAGTTCAGTGCTGCAGACAGCAGGTACCTAATTCTGCATGAACTCATTTAGTATGGCCTGCTGTTATAGAAGTGACAAACGAGAAAGGATTAAAATATTCTCACAGCTTAGCACAGGAAGCGATGGCCTACATGCAAAAATAAAAGAATACGTACAAAATATGTTTAAAACTCATCAAGATCCCATCCATAAGTAGTCCATGTAGATGTCTGTCTTGAAAGGAGTAATCTGGCTGGAGGGTTCCTTTTCTCACCTCCCTTTTTCTTCCCATTGAACAGAATATCTGAATGGTTCTCAGAGCGCAACAGTCAAGTCAGAAACTCTCCGGTCCAGCAGAACTCACCATCAGTCAATTTCTTCTCTTCCGTGGCAAAGACAACAGCACGGCCAGGTCTCTCGGGACACGGTAAAGGATAGCCATGCTCCTTCAGCTCATCCTCGGTCAGCACATATTCTTTGAACCTTCGGTATAAGGTAGCCCCTGAGAATGACAAAGGCTAGGAAACATTTATCTAGCCATTTTCTCTAGCTATTTTCAAACCAAATGCCATCTCCGCACATAGAAATATTCAGGACGGCTTATACGGCAACAAAAAGGTAATTACAGATAAAGTGCTGAGAAAAGGTGCCAGGCAGTTCTTTCTGCAGAGGCCATTATGAACATAAGAACAATCCTGCTGGACCAGGCCAAGTCCTGTGCTAGTTCAGCATTTTGTTTCTTACATTGGCCAGTTCCTCTGGGGTGACAGAGACATACCCCTCTCGTAACCTTGTTCCCCCATTACAGGTATGCTCTTCCTTAGACAGAAATAACACTAAGCCTGACAGATCTGTCCTCCATGAATTTAAAGCTATGCAAATCTGTGGCCATCCCTGCATCTTTTTGCTTCAACAACTACTACAAAGAATCCCAGATTAATTGTGTACTATAGGAAGAAGTATTTTCTTTGTCTAGTCTAAATTTCCTTCCAATTAGTTTCACTGCATGACCCCTGGCCCTGACCCCTTGAGAGAAGAAAAAGATCTTCATGTCCATTTTCTTCATGACATGCTAGATTTTAAATACCTTGAACATTTTTTCCTGCAATCACCTTTCTCTGTATTCTAACTTTTTCTTGTAAGAAAGGTGTTCAAGGCTTCGGGTTGTTCAATCTGTTTCCTAATGATCCATAGCATAGAATTTGCCTTTTTCATAACAGCTGCACAGTTAACACCACTGAGTTATCTACTATGATAGTGTTTCTCAACCTTGGCAGCTTTAGGATGTGTGGACTTCAACTCCCAGAATTCCCCAATTCTGGAAATTGAAGTCCACACATCTTCAATTTGCCAAGGTTGTACAGTTGAGAAACACTGTACTATGACCTGGACTTTTTTCTTGCTTAGTTATAAACAGCTTAGACCCCATCAACATATATGTGATGTTAGGATTCTATACCTAACCTTCACTGTTTTACACACGCCATTCTGTAAGTGAGGGATCATGAACAAGTTCTTTTGCTGATACTCACCAATTGGGGCAAATGGCAATTTCTCATTAACACTAATAAGCAACTGCCTTCTTGAAATAAGCATTCCCCTCTCTCAGCAAGACAGAACACATTTGCAAAGGCATCAAAGCTTAGGACCATGCAACTTGAAGGATTATTTTTCCCCACACAGACCTGGAATACTTATCGAGCATTTACATGCTTGATAAAAAAAAGCAACTTGTTTGGCTTCAAAGCTAGTGCTTTACCCACTTACACAGATTAGATCACTTACACTTTCTGCAGTGTACTGTGGATGTTATTAACTGGGCAATAGCCTTAGTTCAGGGTAATTATACTTTTATCATGAAATGCTCTCTGTACAGAGCAAATCCGGTCAAGCTGAAGGGGGACATTTAGAAAGAATCACAGGTAACATGCATCAACAGGGCTCTGAAAACTGACTTCAGCCCATTCTTCTCTACTGTTTTTCTGTGTTCTTTACAGTTTTAAATAGCTCTGAATTGGCTTTCAAGACTGATGCTATCAGTTCTCTGATGCTGGGGAACAGTCATGCTAGTCTTAAAATCAATTTGAAGGTCTTTAAAACAGACAGAAAGGAATAAAATTACACCACCACCAGAGTCATTGTGTGCATGACAAAAAAGGGAACATACCTGTCAGGTCTTCTAGCCGTAGGCTTGTAGAACGATTAAGTGTATAACTGGTCCTCGCTGCCAGTTTCCCTCCTAGCATAGCTTCATGAGAAACCACTTTCCTGTTGCTAGTCTCTGGAAGAAAAAGCCAGACACCGAACAAGAACGTCAGCAAACTTCCTGGGTCAACCACAAATAAAGTTTTTGAGTGTATGAAAGTGCTACACAGGTCTCCACTCGCTGACTCCTTTAAAAGTCAAGACCCACATGTTCAAAAATAAGTGATAAAAGAAACTATAATTATTTTAGGGTTAGCATCATATACCTCCTTTGCCAATGTGCTAAATGTATAAATAACATTTGTAATAGCAGCCATTTGTAAGTAAGAATGGGACTGACACAGGGCACAACACTGCAGTACAACCAGCTAACAGTATGTGTTTGTACAGATGTTATTCAGCTGATGGAGAGCTGGACCATATGCTGAAAGCTTTGCCCACAGAATTATACCTTTTGGCTTGGTAGGCAGCCCTTCCCCCATTCTGCTGTGCAAATCTGCAGTCTGTTGTGTTACACAGATACTACAAATGGCTTGAAATGGAGGTTTTAGAGTATGGGGAAAGAATACAATGAAGTGTAAAGTAGCAGAGAAGCTTCAGTCTGCAAGTGAGAAGCAAAGTATCAGTACGTACTCTGAACATCCTGAGAAGGGCTGGGCAACAGAGTCCTCAGCTTCTTCAAAGTGTTCACTGCCACATTCAGATAGATGTTGCGGCTAGTGCTGCGCTCATACACCACCTTCTCCTCAGCAAGAGCCTGTGAACAGCATTCACACCATCAGCATTTTTGAGTTTTAATATACAAGGTGAAGCTGGCAAGGCAGGAAGTAGCAATTCCAAGACTAGAGAGAACCATTAGGTTAACATACATCAGATGGCTTCCAGCGCCACCAGGAAAATGGTCAAATATCCACTGACTAGGAAAAGCAGAGGGAAAAGCCTAGCATGTAATCCCCGGTACACGGACTTACATGCAGGCCTTGTTTTCTGCATACCACGGTAGACAAATTTACACTAGACCAATCTTCCCTAGTGTGTCTGTGAGCCTTCTGCCAAAGAAGCTACGTCTTGAATAAGGGATTAAGTTGTCTGGACAGCTGTCCTAGGTGTGAAACCTTACATTAGGGGAAAGACTGGTATCTCTCCAGACTGCAGAGGTTTACTAGCAGCCCAATTCTGGACCCCAAATTAGACCTACCTGTTTCCAGCTAGAAACCTAACCCCGGTCAGTTAGGTATGTAGTTCCACCTGGGGCAGTGCAGCAAAACTACTAAAGGGCCCACTATTTTTACTACTGCTGAATAAAACTTTTCTCTTCCATTCAACTTGTCTGCTCACTAGAACTAGTCACTTAAGAACTGATGTCCTGATTACTTTTTACCTCTTTCTTCTCCCCTATTTTTTCTGTGTAATGTCAGATTGTGGGCAGGGGCTTTCTTTTTTTTGACTGAATGCCTGCTTGTTGCAGAAGCCTTACCTGATCTCGTGATTATTTGTCAACTGTAATTAACTGACATAAAATAGCCAAACACCTGGACATCTCTGGCAAGTGAAATACTTTTAGCAATCAGGCCAAGAGGCTGGGGTTTAGATTTTTTTTTCCTTCCACAACTCTCAGGGTCTCATTTTTATTACTGATGTATGGTGAAACCTTGATTTTAATGGGCCCCCATTTATAATGTGCCAAAGTCCTGTCCACTCATTCCCCTGAAATAACAACCACAACCTTTTAATCTGAATAATCCAGAAAGACAGTTCAATTTGTTAATTTTCCCTGAATTATGACATTCACAATGACCTACATCAGAATGTGTATGACTTGAATTACAGTGATGAGGTACTTTCCTATTTAATGGACTTCTGGAGTAAGAACAACCCTCACTGTACTTTGCCTGCTATCTCATGGACTATGGCAATTTTGATTGATGAGAGGTACGCTGAGATCGGGAAAGCTGGATCAAAACAAATAGAAATGGCATGCAAATATTGTGGACTTACTGAAGTTGGTTTAATGGTTGCAGAAACACATACATGCACCCCTTTCACATATCTAAACTCTTGACACCCTGATGTCTAGTCTACATGACCAGATTTTATGGGGGGGGTGTCTTATGACTGAATTCCTTTTTATAACTCACCCCTGCACTTAGAAAACTAGCACTAGAAGACTGGACTAGAAGTCTTCACTGAGGCACGTGTGGGGAGAGGAACATTTCTTTTTACAGAGAAGCGTTCAGTCATAAAAGCACCTGTCTGCAGGTGTCAGTGGCACAAGCATAGCCACTAGCTTGCATGTTCCACAAAAGTTCCTCTCAGACAATACAGTGTTTCTATTTGTAATACAGGGAACAGTACTTTTAAAAATAAGGTAAAAAATGTGCACCTGTGATTCTCTTACTATTCAAACAGGAAGTTCAACATTGGGCTGGCTCATACCTGTCCTAACTTTGAACTTGCAAACATGTTTGCTCAGTGAACTTCCAAATCTTTTGAAATGATTCATCCCATCTATCATTTGGGCCTGCAGTTAATGAAGTGCAAGCTACAAGAATTCAGAGATGCCCAAGCAATCCTTCTATCACCACCATTACAAAAACACAAACCTTGTCAAATGCTTCCTGCTGCGAGGGGCAGAACTTCAAGCACTCATCAATGAAGAGGTTGAGATACCTCTGACGGATGTTGGTGGGAACTTTGGCACCAAACTCTGTGGGAATAACTGGCCTTTTCAAGGTGGTGCTCTAGAGAACGTGGAAAGGGGGAGGAAAATGAGCTATTTGATAACACAGTCACTACAATGCCTCCTCTATTTCTGGCTCGTTCTTCTACTAGGCTACAGATGAGCAACTCATGAGCCACGAGCTACATGTAGCCTCACAGCCACCTTTCTGCAGTATCCAACAGCCCACAAGATCATACTGCTGAGGTTCAGCAGTGAATCTACCAGAATTGGTTGATGTTATATTTTTTTTCAAATAACACTCAAAACTATCTGAGTAAAACCTCCCCAATTATCCAAAATCCTGCCTAGGAATGACTCAAAGACCTTTTATATGCAAAGCTGAGCTATAATCCCTAGAAGAAACAAAAGGAAGCACAATCTTGCACAAGCGTTTGTCCTCAACAGTCTTTGAGTTCCAAACCTTTGAGGCCAAGATCACATGCAGGGGTATGTTTCATGTGTTCAACTGGAAAAGTAACTATGAAGCATATACTGGCAATTCATCACCTGCAGAGTGGGAGTATGTGCTATCCTTTTTGGGACACTTGTGGTAGTTGTCTTAGATGCCATTCCAGTGAGTGTTCGAGCTTTCAGTACTGGAGCATCAACACCATTGGAAGATGCCACACTTGCAGGTGGAATGGTCTTCTTAAGATTTCCAGGAACTGAAAGGGTGTGGGCAAAAAAGGACAATATTCAGAAGTAGGGCTAAACTCTGAAACTTGTTACAAAGAATTATATAAGTCATGGAAAAGATGAGAACTGACCTGTCCACTTCTGGTAGACCATTTAGGGAGAGTTGAAAAGAAGAGTGGAACAAGTGTCGCAAAGCCCCCTCCTGCAACTCCCAGAATTCTCAGTCAGTCCTTGCTCACCTTTGCTGCTAAATCTGGTAACTGAAGTTCTAACTCATGTGGAGGGTGCCATATTAGTGCTGGTAACTAGTCACACCTTGTTCAGATACAGCTGCCACTTAATCAAGGATACAATAATCGTTACCATCTAGCACAGATTTGTTCTGCTCTAGCTCTTCAGTGATCCTGAGTAGGTTATTACTTTACTTCCTGTTTTAGAATTTGTTATCATTTCACTGTATTTAGTGAAATGTAAGAAGTGAAATTTAGTGAAATGTAAAAAGTCCAGAAAAGGTCTCAGTTTGATAAGGTGTGAACATGTGAAAACATACATGAAAAGTTCCTAGCCAGCACATTGACTACTCACTGCTGGATTACAGGGACTAAGGGAAAGAGAGACAAAACAAAAAAGAACGTATCAGACTAAAGGCACTAATGGAATGGTGAAGGGCATAATTATCTAGCCATGGCTAATATTCTTGATAAACTGGGGTCAATCAGCAGGGAGATCCAAAAAGGTGTGCTGTTGTGGACAGAACTGAACCACTGCCTTCCCAAGCTGCCATGATAGAGCAGGAAAAAGAGCCTGTTTTTCCTGCGAGGGTCATGCCACCTGGGGGAATTACGACTGGAGACTGTATACTGGCTCAAAACAGAATCAAAATATACATATACACCTCATTTGCATGGAGAGAAACAAATCTTGTCAACACATTTAGATCTGTTAGCTTCACTGTTCCATGCACAGACACAGTTCCATGCACTGTTCCATTCTCAACATACAGCAAAGAGACATCCATAGACAACATGGGAGTAAAAGTTAGCTACATTCTTTCTTCGTTAATGAGCTGCACATTTCTGATTATGTGAGTGGCATGTACTTGGAGAGCCTTTATGGGAAGAGGTGTGGCACCTGTATGGCCTTCTGCCTCTTCCCCCTCAAACTGCTCAGCTGATTCAAGATTCCCCTCAGCAAGTCAGATTATGAAGATACATTGCCTTGAACACCTACCACAGCAAATTGCTTCTCCTAATAGAATGGAAAGTTCTTCTGCAAGAGAAAAACTGAAGCGTTCACTTACCCCACTTGGAGACTGCAGAAAGAGCTGCACTGGGCACATGAGCGACTCGCTTCCTTTCTCCTTTGTGCATAACCAGGGAAGCTCTTTGGGATGCCACAGGCAACTGTGTGGTCGGCAGTTTTGGTGGCTGCTGTTGTACCAGCTGCACTGCCTGCTTCTGAGCTAGCTGAATCCTCTGATAGCAGACCTCTTGGGCAGTTGGGGGACGGTAAGGCCGGACCACTGGCTTGTTTGGGACTTCAGCCTGAAAAGAAAATGTAAGGACACTGGTTTGCATGATAAAGCAGAGACTTGTCACATGTGGAATTTGGATCCTGGTTAGCACCACAAATTTTGGACATGTTTTGAACTGGCAAAAGGATGGATCAGAATGATTGGCCCTACCGATCATGAGTGTATGATTCACTCATACAAGACAGAACACAAGGAAGGAGGACTGGAAAGACAGGGCAAATAATGTTCCATCTACACACTGCGGGACAAATTTGTCCACCTGTCAGGTTTTCATACTGAAGACAGCTGCTGAACCTATACACCTTTGCATAGTGGTTTGGGAAGAGCAGATGTGCTAAGAACTTGCAAATATTTGAGTTTCAGAATTTCCAATCCATTTCACAAGAGTCCTTTTTTTCTTCTGCTGTACAAGAGCACTTAATGGACAAATGGATGGAAGACACACAATTGGCCGGAATGTTGTATGTGCCGACCAAAGGCCTGACTTGTGAAAACAAAAAACTCATTGATGTTCCAGAGGAGAGGATAATCAAGGTCTGCGCACACACTGCTAAAGATCCAGCAGCTAGAATCCCCTTAGTTCAGATTTTTTTTAAAGGACTGTTTTCAGCCTGCAGAACAAAAAAATGTAGAGAACATATTTTCAATGGGAGGGAAGCTTGAAATAATTTCTGCGAAGAAGAGAATAGTTTAAATACTTATAACAAATGCAGTATTTAACATGTCGGCATTAACAATCTCAGAAATCAGGTAGATATTCTGAAAAATGTTGGTGGTTACTTAAATTACAGTTACTGTTCTTCAAATAAAGCCTAGTGAAAGATCTGTTGTTTTATAGATGGCTTTACTGCCTTTCTAAACTCTTAACTGCCATAGCAAAGAAGGCCCTGCTACTCCTTGCATCTTCTCCTGAACAGCTGATGATGCAGAAACATACAGCTAACTGCATGGATGAAGCAGTTGTTAAGGAAGAAGAGAGTTCCCTGCTTCTAGATTACCTGGGATCCTCCATATTTATATGAGAATGCTACAGGCAAAAACTTGGATTCTCTTTAACATTCTTCACATCTTATGGCAACATAAATCAAAGAAGATGAAAAGCTACAGGTTTAGGATCACCCTGAAATCTGCATAACTATTTTTAGAATCTCACATACTGAAACAGTGGAAGCTAGACAGCCTCAAGGAAGATACTAATTTTTTGAAGTCCTGAGAGCTACTGTAGTGCATATCTAAAAACCACACGCACACACATAGAAGTGTACATCTTCAGTCCATAGATACTAGTCTTCAACACTACATTCCCAACCCCATATTACTTGGCTGGGCATGGGAATACACCAAAAACTCTCATCAGCAAGGGTGGAGATTGGCAAGAGTGCCCCACAGACAAGCTTCTGATGCCATTTCAAGATCTACTTACATGTCCTTGCTTTGTTACATGAGAAATCCTCCTTTTTTGCCCAGGAAAGAGTGTGGTTAAACTGTCCTCTGTCAACTTTTCTTCACCCCCTTCCTCTTTTGACAGCTAGGGGGAAAGGAAGAGAGAGAGAAAATTTCCAAAGTAGAAGGGTTTTTCCACTTCATGTTGTTTGTATGCATGTCTTTCAAAGTAATAGAATCACAAAGCCCCTTTTAAAAAGCTTGCCAGGTCAACACTGCCTACAACAGCGTAAAACTTAGTTCTTGGTGAGGGGGAGGGGGGAGATCACAATCCTCAGCCAAAGAGGAAGAAACAGCCCCTTGTATTCTTTGATAGCCATCTTCCAGATATATTGGGATTAAAACTGGCAGGGAATTCTGCAGCTGCTACCAACACATCTGGAGGACTCCAGAACTGGGGAAATCCTATTGCTGAACTGGCTGCAGTAATTTTGCAGACAAACAAATAACTTCATTTGGGCTTACCTTGAACTATGTAACTTTTAAATCCAGGAAGCTTTACAGATTTTTTTTTTTAAAGAATTGCTACTGCAGGGGTTGAGGGACACCTCTTAAAACTAAAAACTCCAAATGTTGGGCCCACTATACTTGACTACATATTTTATTGACACTATCCATAATTCCACCAAATATCACATCTTGAAAGAGATTACTGAAGCCACATGAACTCAGGAAACTACCTCCCTAGATGGTTCAACAGTCTGGCCCAGTTTTTATTCTGACTGGGAGTGGCTTTCCAGAATCTCCAGCAGAGAAAGGCCCTTCCTCACCAACTGCTAACTAGACCTTTTTAATTTGAGAAGCTATGATCTGAATCTAAGTCCTTCTGAAAGGAACATAAGTACTCTACCCACTAAGCTACAGGCTTTCTCATAAAAGAAAGCAGTGAAGAAGCTCTACTGCTTGAGGCAGCAGGCTTCTCTCACCCAATGTTTTCCTGTATAATTACACAGTGAAAATATAATTCCTAAGGGATAAAGCACAAGGGATATTAGCCACTAGGCAATATCACTGCCCCAAATCCCTAAGCCATCCCTAGAGTCTTTGCAAATTTATCCCTGACTCAGTCAATACCCTACCTGCAGCAAACTACTTTGCAAGCCCAGGGCAAACCATCCTTGAAATACAAAGGTATTTTATAACCCAGTTTCTATTGCTTTTACTACACTAGAATATGTTTCTATATATTATGTTTCCCCTTAATGAAATCTTTGGCTACCTTTTTTTCCTGTGGGAAACCATAACTCATTGCTGTCAGAAAATCCAAACTCACAGAATGTAGGGGATGGAAGAGATTTTGACCATCATCTAGTCTAAAGAAACGACCACCACTTATAATGTTCTCATGGCTTCCTTTTCTAACACACTCAATATGTCAAATCATTTATATTTTGTGTAAATCTCCTTAAAACTCAAGGACAAGCACAGTGCCTTCACACTCAGAGATTATACAATCAGAGATACATACTTTTATAAACAGTTTGCAGTGCTTGTAACTCACCATCCCATCCCAGTATTCCTAGGTCTTTACCTGTTTTCCTAGTCTGCCTTTGTCTTCTGTTTTGACATCATTCGATTCATTAAAAATCCGAAGGCACTCCTCCATCGGGTCAGACTCAAAATCCAAATCCTTCTCTAGGATAGAATAATCAATCTCATCAGAGGAGGAAGAGGAGGAGGAAGCAGCAGCAGCAGTCTGGGACAACTTAAGCTGATTAACAATTGCTACCCCATTGTCCGAGGGCAAAGATAAGTCAGCATCATCTCTGTCTGAGTCTGAACTCACATCAGGGAATGGAAGAAGAGGCTGTCCCACCTGCTGCTCATCTCCACTCTCATCACCAAAGAGATCAACATGGCTCAGGGCCCGCTGTTTAGCTTTGCATTTGGCCCCAGAATTCTCCTTGGCCAGGGAGTTGGCCAACGCTTCCTTAGACCTTTTCAAGGCTGGCTGCTTGCCCTTTCTCTTATCATGTTCCATTCCACTAGAGATTTTGGGCTTCCTTTTCAACTCAACAGGCCTTGATTTGCCATCCTTCCTACTAGCCCCTGATTTTTCAGTAGCAGAAACTTTGCCAACATCTTTGTTTTTGCCAGAATTCTCAATTCCAGGTGCCATCACAGATTTTGGTTTATTGAGCTTCTGCACATGCCCATCGATATAGGACTTGCTTCGTTTCTCCTTACTCCTTTCCCCATTTTTGTGCTGTGTCTTCACATCTATCTTCTCCTTGTCTCCTGTTTTATCTAGATTTTTCTTACCCTGTGCCTTGTGGTCATCATCCTTTTTCTTTCTCAGCTTATCCTTTGGTGCCCCTTTGTTCTTTTCTTTTGCTTTTGCATCCTTGCTAGAAGGCACTTTGACCAACTTGGCATTTTTCTCCAGTACATCTTTGACAACAGTTCTCTGAGGACACTCAATGTCTCCCATGTCATACTGTACAGCAGTCTCTTTCATTTGTCGAGAACTACCATCTATTTGTGGGGTTCCCTTTTCTTTGGCAACAGCCAATTTGCTTTCTGAATCTCCTTTAGATTTAAGGGGGATGATGGAAGCTTCTTGGCATTCATCCTCTGAATCAGAGAACCTGGCAATTGGCTCATCACTGCTAGCTGTATCACAATGTTTCTTGAATGAAGGAGAATATGCCTCCTCATGATCATCTTCTCTCTTCCTCTTGGTCCCCTTCTGTTCTTTAGCTTTGTTCAATAGCCTGGCAGAATAATTTGAAAGAGGGTCATACTCTAAATCTGTTGAAGGCTTGGAGTTGTCAATTATGTATTTGCTATTTACAACAGGGCTGCTGTACTTCTTCGGCTGAGTGACCATAGTGGGAATATATTCCAGTGAGTTGCCCTTGCATTTCATATTGTTGAAGGAGTCCAAAGTATATTTGCTAGACTGACTAGCAGCAGCCACTGCAAGAGGAGTAGGATTGTAATCAGTATCACTGCTTGCATTGTAACTACCTGGGCTGTATTCCAGAGAAGTGAATGAGTCGGATGTTGCTAATGCAGCAGCTTTAGAAGCAAGTAAAGGGGGCTCAGATGAGCCATACTCTTTAGTTGTCTCCAACAGCTCCTCATACTTCTTTTGCTCACGCTCAACTTCATTCTTGGCAGCTTCAATAGCCTTGTCAAACAGCTCAAGCTCCAGAATTCCAGAGGTTGACTGGACAATATTTTCCAAAGTGCCATTGCTGGCTTGTGCCACAGGTTTGGGAAGCTCTGGGTTGTAGGGGTCATAACCACACCCTGTGAAAGGAAGAAAAACAAGAATATTAGCATGAACCATTCCCAGAATTCCCATCACATTCCAATTATAAAAATTCATTAGGTTGTATCAGAGGGAGAGGCAAAGAACCAGCTGCCATATGGCCCTTAGAACTGTCTATATCAGCAGCCATCCCTCTGTTATATCATCCAACTTCACTGTGTAAGAGTATGGCTGAACTGATTTTTGTCCTTTGTCCCTCTTTTCTTTATACCACAACTTTAGACTTGGGGCACAAGTCCCTAAAGAACCATCTGCTGTAACATGAACATGCTTGCATTTCTCATCTAAACAACTTTCCAGGTCTTTCCTCTTTTCTAAAATTACGTAATGTGCAATTTTGATTGCAACACTCCATTTATAAGAGTCCTATCCATGACAAAGTATTACCTTTCTGGTCTCAAGCAAAGAACTTGGGATGGATTTCACTGATTATCTGAATTGTTATGCTATTCTTTTTCTTTGAATTAATTTTAACCGTGATTTTACACTGATAAACTTGCAACTCTGCAAGACTGGCCCAAGACCACCTTGCCTATCTCAATGATTCAGATTAGCACTGTCTACTATTTCATACTAGCTTGTAAAAATCATGGAGATTTTCAGCTGCTTGGCCTTGAAGAAAGCGAGGAATTTTAACTAGGTATAACAGGGTTCAGGAGTAAATCTCAGCTAATTGGATGATCATGTTCCTGTGGAAGTTATCCTAGTATCAGCATAGCTAACAATGATAGAGGACAAATCTATTATGGAAAAACTAGTCCTCCAAACAGTAACAGGAGAATTGCACTCAAAAGCAGGACATGCCTTAGCACACAAATAATGAGACTCTGGTCAACATGGGAGACAACCACAGGACTATTGCAAGAAAGGCGAAGGAGCTTTAGCCAACAAAAGACAGTCAGCAGCCAAGGACTAGAGGGGCATTTGCAAATGAAAAGGAGATGCACAGCAGCCATTTTCACTTCCAGCTCATGGCAGATGAGTGTCATGAGTCTTTTTTTTTTTTAAGGAGAAATGTGCTTGCAATTTCTAACACAATGCCTGATGTGGAGGAAATGCAGGAGAGTTCTATCATCTCTCTCATATAATACTTGTACTTGGTAATTCCAACATTTGCCCAGCCATTTTCCAATAGAAAGAAAAATGCAGATTCACACAATTCAGATTGGTTTTAAAGTGAAGTTATGGAGGCTGCTTTGATAGAGTTAAAAGGGGTTTCATAAAAATTCAGGGAGAAAGCTGACCTATGGCCATTAGCCATGATAGCTAAATGAAGCCTTAATTACTGTGTTTCCCAGTTTGGGAGAGCAGCTGCGATATAGCTGCTATCATCTCAGGCCTTTTTCCTTACCCTCACATGCAAAGAGAAAAGATAAGACTTGGAAGAAAGTTGCACAACACTTACCGATACCTGCTAACACCATTCAGGAAGCACTGTTGCTACAGTAGTTCAAAAATGTTCAGGCCTCTAGTAGACAGGAACAAATTCCCCTTACATTTTGAGAAAGGAATAGCTTAGCAAAAAGAATTTGAGTCCCACCTCATCTAATTAATGTCTTTGGAAATATCAGCAAAGGCTCTTCAGAACAAGCTGAAATAGGTCTCCCATTACAAGAAAAGATCTAAGAAAAGATTGCTTAAGGACGCTGTTTCCAACTCCTTTTTTAAAATCAGCTTCTGGTTTGTCGCTTTTCCTTCCCCTTGAAAACCAAAGATAAGACCACTGTAATCTTAAACAAAGAAGCAGTTTATCCAAACCACTCCATGTGGAAATATACCTCCACACCCAAAGGTAGTTTCTCCTTCTACTACTCTCACTCCATACCAGTTTATGAATAAATCTACAAGTGGAACAGGTATCTAAAACTTCAAAAATTAAATGTGCCTGAAACGTTGTTGTGAGCCGGTCTATACACATTTATGAGAGCCAGTTTGGTGTAGTGGTTAAAGACATCAGGCTAGAAACCGGAAGACCATGAGTTCTAGTCCCCCCTTAGGCATGAAGCCAGCTGGGTGACTTTGGGCCAGTCACTCTGTCTCAGCCCTGGGAAGAAGACAATGGCAAACCAAAAAGCCTTGCCAGGAAACCCGCAAGGACTTTTCCAGGCAGTTGCCAGGAGTCAAAAACTGACTCAAAGGCGCACGCACGCACGCACATGCACATTTATAGCCGCAGCATGCTTTGTAGCACCTCAAGAAGATTTTACTGAAATCGCAACTCAAAAATTACTTCAGAAACCCTTGCAAGTTTCACTCCTCCAAAATCTGCATTTAAACACATTGCAAGGGTTTGAATCTTTCTTGAACATCTGCAGTTCAAAACTTAACATGTCTATAATTAGCAGGCAAAGAACTTTATAAGCACAGGGTACTTGAATGTTGGCCAAATCACCACCCAAATCCTACAAAAGGGTTATTTGAGTAGCCCATTCTTTAAAAAATTAAGCATTTCTTAAATTCAACCCCCAGTTAAAAGTTTCAGATAACAAGTATTGGAAAAGTCCATTTTCTATCTGAACATCTGAAGAACTGCCATCACTGTAGATCAGACTGTATAAGAATAAGTCAGACCTCATATAAGAAAGCTTTTGATTTCCTAAAGTTAGCCGCTGTCTAAAAACTTGCCAGAAAAAAGCCACCACAGACTTAACTATACATTAGACATATCCAAAAGCAGTTTCATTTTTTCCTCTTCCCAAGAATATATATCAGGAAAAGCTCAGCAAAATAATACTACCTGTACAGATGCCACTTTAAATTCCAGATACTTTAGTTGAACAGGCTCTTTCTCTATGTGCCCAGCTGATACCTACCTCCAACAATGGGGAGGATCTAAATGAGAGTCTCCAGGATGGAGCATTACAAAAATCCATCTCCATTGATGAGAAGAATGCTGCTTTTAACAAGCTTTATTACATTTTTATAAGTATATAATAAAACCTATTTTTTTGAAATTTAGATTTCAAGTTTCCTATATTTCTCAGAGTACTCTTCAATCCTAAATGAATATTTTAAAATGCTGAAAATGTCCCCCCACCTCATACACACAATAAGATGTGCTGTTTCAGCTACCGGCACCCCATTTTAACTTTAAGTATTCATTTTGAAAACAATCTAAGTTGTATCCTCTTTAAAACAGAAAAAATAAGACTGAATTTCCAATGTACTGGAGTCTATCTGGTCACAACAGGTTGAAAATCTCTCTTCAACATCACCATATTTATATTGTAGTTTAGAATATGCTAAGAATATGTTAATATGTATTAATAAACCTTCCTCCAAGGATTTTAAGCTGAAGAGGAAACATGCAAGATCCAAGAGACACAAACATAAAGGAAGATCCTTTCCTTCTATACCATGTTCTTGTAATGTACCATTTTAACCACAATCTTAATGCAATTACAACTGTTGGCACGATAAAACTCTGTTCAACTGTTAAAAGCTGAAAGGGGAATTAAGACTGTAACTAATATTTTCCTTCTACCTAACACTATACTCAACTAGATGATGCTACTTACTTGATTTATAAACCTTTTCTAGTCAGCTTTTAATATCTAAGCCCAGAATGACTTAAAAGAAAATATGTTAACGAATGTTTTGGAGGTGGGTGGCAAAGAAGAATTAAACAGCCCATTACACACAAAACTGACCAGCTCTTCTGTATGATGCTTTCCACAGCACAGCCAGTATTTCCTTCTGGTACAGCAAAGACACAACCACAAGCATGGGGCAAAGGTTTTCTTTTCTCTTTTTACCTGGGCTCTCACGCATGGACAGGCAATGGAGATACTTGTTCATACTTTCATCCAAAGGGCCTCTTTTCCTTTTTAAATATCTTCTTTGCACTCTCCAGCCACCCTGACACATCAAGCTGTCAAAACATGCAGTATAACTGCCAGGTCATGGACAGCAAAGATAATTCAGGGCTGGAGGACAGCAGACAGGAAGCTGGGTAGTCCCACCTTCACACACACTGCTCTTAAAGAGATATTTCCCTCTTAAATAATTCCAGTGTTTTTTAAGTAACCCACATTCAAAACAAGGACCTCACATACATCAATCCTTCAAAACTTATGTAATTTCCACATTAGAAACTTTATATAGAACTACTTTGAAGACCACTTGGAAGTTGTAACTGATTCATAATGTAGCAGCCATGTGTTTACTAGCACATGCCATCAGAAGCACATTATAGATTCTTATAGCTTATTGGTGCAATTTAAAGTGCCGGCTTTGACTTAAAAAGCCCTATACGGCTCAGCATCTAGATACCTCCAGGACTACATACTCCAATCAGAATCATTCCAGTCAATGCTGTCATCTCAGGGCAAACAAATGAGTAGCCTCCCTCTTCCAGGAAAGCAGGGGGCTGAAGCTGGGAGGTGCTATTTCTCAGTGGCATCACCCATTCTTTGGAAACCCCCATTTTCATTTAGGAAAATGCTGAAAACTGAACTCTTTCAAAGTGTGTTTATACTTTAAGATGTGTATTAAATGTGTTGAGCTGGTTGGTTTGGAATAATTAACTGAAGGTGTTTATGCACTGTTATTGGCTTATTTACATTGTTTTAATTGAGTTTACCATGGGCATTTTATATAATTTACCATGGGTGCTTTAATTTTTTGTATTCTTATGTTAGAATTATATTTGAATTGCAGTGTCAGATAAATGGAATAAATAGTGAGATTCATTGAATACAACCTAAGTACAGGTAGTCCTTGCTTAATGATTGCCTCAAAAAAAGTGCTTTATGACCTGCACTCACACTTACAATCATCACAAATCAATGTATCACCCCCCGGGGTCACATGATGATTTGTGACTTTTACAACAGTTGTTAAGCGAATCACCAATAGTTAAGTGAATCATGTGGTCATTAAGCGAATTACATGGTTGTTAAGCAAATTCTGGCAAAAAAGTCCATTGGGGAAGCTGGATTCACTTAATGACTGTCATAAAAATGGTTGTAAAATCAGATCCAGTCACATGATGACTTGCTTAACAACCGCCCCACTTAAGACCAATTTTCCAGTCCCTATTGTGGTCATTAAGTGAGGACTACCTGTAAGCATGCATTTATGAATTAGCCAATTACTAGAGGAAGGTAAATACTGTACACATATTTAGAAAGGGGAAAGCACCAGGGATCAAGCACTCTGTTACTGTGATGGAAGGCATGAGTGGGGAGGATTCTGGTATGGAGCTTCAAGGTTACAGGGAGGG